AGCACACGTTTACATGCACGCCTCTGGCACTTATTTCTATTATTTACTTATTTTGGAAGACGCCTCTGGCATTATACATTTGAAAAATTGCTAGCACACGTCGAGCGTTGAAGCCTCTGAAATTTTTGTTACGCCAGCACACGTTTACATGCACGCCTCTGGCACTTATTTCTAGTATTTACTTATTTTGGAAGACGCCTCTGGCATTATACATTTGAAAAATTGCCAGCACATGTCGGGAGTTGAAGCCTCTGAAATTTTTGTTACGCCAGCACACATTTACATGCACGCATCTGGCACTTGTAATCAGATGTTTCTTTTTTTTTTAATATATTTTTTGAAAGAATATTTATCGCAAGTATAAATATTTAAAAAGACACACGTCCAAAATTGATGTCAACTACACTATATTACTTTGCAATGCATGCAAACAGTTATAAGCGTAATGTAATATTTTCTTTATACATAAACATTTTATGAACTGTAAATAGAGTATTATTACATAGTATTATTAGTGATCTATTTCTTTACCCATACACGCACGCGCGCGCGCGCGCGCAAACACACACACACACACACACATATATATATATATATGTATATTTACACGACATGTATGAAAAATTTTGACACAGCCGGAGTGTTAAAGTACGTTGAGTCTATCTAGATAGAAAAGTCATATATCATTTGTCACAATTTGTAATTGTGATTAAGAAACTAATTAATATATGTGATCCAATAAGCAAATAGAAAGCTGTGGTTCGATCTCTGTAAGTGTGTATGATTTTCTTATATGAACATCTGCTGATCGCGAGAAGCTGTGTCAAACGCCACTCGCTTCTTTGCTCCGCCTCTCGGAAGATGCATGAAGTAAAAGTCATACACGCCTACAGAGTCCGGACCATCGCTTCCTACGCGCTCATTGGGTCTAATGAATTCATTAATTACTCGATAACAATAGCACATTAAGCAAATTAGTACATGACTTTTCTGTTTATATTGACTACATATTTTCACAATTTGGCTGTGTCAA